GCAGGGGCCAACTGGGGCCAGCGGAGCAAGGGGGCGAGGCCTGCAGGGGCCAACTGGGGCCAGTGGAGGCCAGGGACCTAATATCCTCACCAGCCTCCCTTCTCTCACACTTTTGTCTCGGTGCACGATGACTCATGTTGAGAAGTTGCTGCTGGCGGTGGCGGTGCTGGCGTTGGGCTCCAACGCAGCAGCGGTGGTGGAGGAATGTAACAGTCTGAAGAAAGCGCTGCCGACAGACGACCTGCACAAGGTGAGTCGTGGTCCTGAGCTCTGGATTCTTCAGGTGATCCTGACGTCTCTGAAGCAGCTGCTTCAGGAACATGTCAGAACATCCAGATCAGAGGTGGCGCTAAAACATGTTTCTCCATTAACATGATTGTTATGTTAAGTTACAGCTTCAGACTGAACTCAGGTCTCTGGATCTTCTCTGGAGGACCAACTCAAATGTCAGAGTGAGACTCAGTTTGTCTGTCTCCTCCTTCACTCCTGTATAAAGTCTAAATCCAGAAGAAGTGTGGACTCAGCAGAGCGTCCTCCACTGAGTCGCTGGGAGGGAGTGGGGGGGGGTGATGAGCTTCTTTCTTCTAACACGAAACAAACATGAAGACGTGAAAACAGTTTGTGGTGATAAGAGCTGACGACGGTGTCAGGTGATGTAAACATGATCACATGATCTCTGCAGCAGAGTTAATATGTCACTTCTCTCTCTCTCTCTCTCCGTCTCTCTTTCTGTCCTGTCTCACTGTCTGACTCTCTCTCTCTCTCTCTTTCTCTCTCTCTCTCYGTCTCTCTCTCTGTGCTGTCTCTCTGTCTGTCTCTGTCTGTCTCTGTCTCTCTCTCACTCTGTCCCTGCAGATCTTTGGGGACTGGGTTCTGGTCTGGTCCATCACTGATATTCCAGGGGGTTGGGACATCTTTCCTAACATCACCAGTTCCCACGTCGAGCTGCGACTCTTTGCTGACAACAAAACCATCGAGTTCAACGAGAGAAACCTTCACTCGTGAGTTAAAATTCTGATCCTGATTCTGATTCTGATTCTGATCCTGATCCTGATCCTGATCCTGATTCTGAT